AAATTTTTCTTAAAATTTTATTCTTCAACACAAGAATTTTTCCTCATGAAACTAAAAGTCTAGATGTGTGAATAGGATCAAATATGCCAAATTCTTTTACTCTCCTAGACTATGATCTAAAGGAGTAATAGAATCAGAGAGTCAGCAGGGATTGGAACGGTGGCTTTCAAAAGCCTTTGTGGTCCACAGTAACAAACACATTTTATATCACAAGCCAGAACACCCATATGTCTACATATGTGTATTACATTTACACACATATGTCTGTACACACACAATGGAAATTAAAGTTCTGTGCCATGCTATGACTTATTAAATGCAATGTATGCTAATATTTTCTCTTCTAGTCTGTTCTATTCTCTTTTTAGTGTTTCTTTGTTTTTGTTTTCTAATGTGCTTGTTGTGACTTTCTAAACTTTTTTCTCAAGCCATGCATGGGCCACAACGTTGCAGTTTTCTCAAGCCATGCATGGGCCACAACGTTGCAGTTTGAAGAAGAGTGAAACACTGGATTACAAATGTCATAGGTCAAATTCCCTATGGCAAAGCTTCTGACACAAGTGATCTATAAAAGGAGGCTCTCAGGTGAAACTTTTAAGGGGATGAGGAAAGCAAACTAGAGAAGAGGGAGAAGCTAAGCAAGAATGTGGCTTCAGGTTACCTCTTGCCTCACCCTGATCATGCAGGGAGCTCTGGAACGTAAGTGACCCGAGGCATTCCTTTGGAGAACGTTACAAGGATAAGCAGTTAGTAGTAGCAGCAGCAGGAGGGGCTTGTAACAGGGATCTGCAGCGATCTTCTATCTGAAGCACGAACATCACTTGCTTCATAGAGTACTGCATCTTCAATTGCTCTGTCCTGTGATTTTCATGTCCAGGTCTTGTTAGGAACCCCCCAATACTAACCTCATCAGGAATCACTAGCCTACCACATTTGTATATGAATATAATGTGTTGGGGGGCGTGTCTCAGGAAAGTTAGTCACTATTTCATGTTATGCAAAAAAGAGTTGATTAAATGTGGGAATCATGGTGTAGGTGCAATTTAAGATGACAGTATGTTTTTATGTGAAGATTAATGTATAAATATGTTTAATTCTCAAGGTAACTCAGTAGCTTGTTGTGTCAAAAATTAATAAGAGCTATAATTTACAGAGCTCTTGCTTTGTATAAGGACCCTTTGCTAATTGCTTCACAGATACACATTTTAAGGTAGATATTATTATTCCCATTTTACAGGGGGAAAAACTGAGGCTTAGAAAGGTTAAGGAACTTTTCCAAGCTTACTCATCTGGGAAGTTTCAGAGTCAAACTTTGAACTCAAATTGCCTTACCTGTAAGTCTTCTTTCTTAAAAACTACATTGGCCAGTTTTCTTCCAGGTTACCTCTATCAGTTATAGCCCCTTAACTATAAGCAGAATCAGCCACCTCTAAAACAGAAAGTATTTTGTGGGTTTTTTTTTTTTTTTTCCTTTTTGTCTTTTTTCGTGACCAGTGACGGGATCGCAACCCTCGGTGTCGCGCCCGCACAGCACTCAATCAGTGAGCGGACCGGTCTCTATATGGGATCCGAACCCTCGGCGGGAGCACCGCCACACTCCCAAGCGCCGCACTCTACCAAGTGCGCCACTGGGCCGGCCTAAGTATTTTGTGTTTTAAATTGATTTCTTTATAGAGTTTCTTATTTTCTAAGGACCGTATACTACATGAAATCAAGTCAGTTAGATATTTGCAATGAGAATATGATATCTGCCTATAGCTTGTTTTCAAATTCAGATATAATTAATAAGTAAATTCACAGCAAAGTCAAGGTATGAGCATATAATGTCCATGTCTGCTCTTGGGTCTTGCCGCTACCTTTGTTGAACTGCTGACGTTCTCCGTTCCTGGAGCCAGATTTGCCAGGGCAGACACCCAACCGAACTGCTCTCGCATCTTCTCCATCAGATATGACGTGTCCTCCAGGTGCTGCTGGGTCATCTGGAGAATCTGGGTGTATTGCTGATTGGATACATTGACCAATCTAAGGGCCTCATCCAATTCCGTGTGGAGTTCAGGGACATCAGGACAGTCTAGCAAAGAAGAAAGGAACATGGTAAAGAAACATGGTCCATGAAACTTGGAGGTGGGCGATGCAGTCTTAACTCCCAGCCCTCACACTGCCTATTTCCCCTTTGCCTGTGAGAACTCCTAGTTTATATCTGTTTTTCTGGAGTAATTATTAAGATCGCCTAGATCAGTTTCAAACAAGATGTAGCTTAATTGTTAATCATATGGTTTTATGTAACAGAAACTGGGCTGGAGACAGAACCTCCTATTACAGATCCCATGTGCCTAACACCTATATTAAGAAAGTCATTATATCTCACTTGGCTAAAAGTTAACACAATGGGAAGGTTCCCTTCATTTGTGGGTTTTCTTCTTCTTTTCAGTAAGAAAAGTAAAGGAGTTGTCCTAATTTGCTCATTGCTTTTCTCTTTTGCACATATTAGTGTTCATTTGGTTTTGAATCATAAAAAAATTCACATTAGCTATTAGGAAGCTAAAGAAATTGAAAGAATGAGTTGACATACTTTCAATAAAAAACATTCGGAAGGTTCCCTTCATTTGTGGGTTTTCTTCTTCTTTGCAGTAAGAAGTAAAGGAGTTGTCCTAATTTGCTCATTGCTTTTCTCTTTTGCATATATCAGTGTTCATTTGGTTTTTAATCGTAAAAAAAATTCACATTAGCTATTAGGAAGCTAAAGAAATTGAAAGAATGAGTTGACATACTTTGCAATAAAAAATATTTATAAACCTACATTGAGCACCCACAGATGGAAATGAGCATGCAAAAAAGTACTTGAAGGAAAGCAGATGAATCCACAGCTTGTGAAAGTGAGATTTTGACCTCTGACCAGAATACTATGGAAATCCTAAGAAAAAAATAATTACTTACCTTCAGACAGGTAATCCTGACATTTTCGGCATCTTTTGTAAAATTTGAAACATCCTGACCAATTCTGGCCAAGTTCCCCACACAGTCCTCTGTCCTGCGCAGGTAACATTTTTGAAGTCAGGCCTCCGTGCTCAGGGTCTGCAGGGAACACAACATTCATACATGAGCGTCATTGAAGTTTGTGCTTTAAAGCACGGAGACAATGTCATTGCTTTTTCTTACCAGTGCTTTCAAAATCTTTTTCCTGTATTCAAACATTGGCATGCATGTCAGTGCAATCATTTGCCAGGACAATTTGACATCTAGTAAAAATCGCACATACTCTTGAATCCAGGAATTTTGTTACTAGTCATTTATTGTTAGTGTGTGTGTGTGTGTGTGTGTATATATATATATACCCACACAACCACATTAATGCATGTAATTTTATTTTCTAGAAGGAATCATGAGGTATTAGTAGTAATTAACTTTTGGAAGAGAGACCTGATGGGGTGGAAGAGGGCAGCGTTTGTTTGTTTTGTTCCTTTGTATCTTTGAATTATTTTAAAGTTAGTGTGTCTTACATATTTTTATCATTATTATTTCTGATGGCAATAGGGTTAAGTAAATAGGTGGTTGTGAGCTACTTTTTTGGGGGGGTTCTCTCTACTACAAAAAAAGCTTAACAATTATTTTAATTTTTAAAAGCTGTCATTGAGAAGTACATTGGAGTTCCAAAGATATTGGAAATTCTTTAAATATCTTTAAACTGCATGGTAGGTATTTATTTTATTACTTTTTTTTTGCATTTTATATATATACATAATGTTATAAACAATGGGTCAAAGATTTAGGAAAATACCTAAAGCAGACCAAATTTTGAGAAACTATTTTTTTTCATAGGAGAATTAACAATTCATAGGAAATGTTGATGTAAAAGAGAAGTCTATACAACAGAAAGTTGGCAGTTCCCAATAGAGTGTTTGACATTAGGAGAAATTTATTGCTAATTTAAAATATGATGATTTTCTGTTATATTAAATCCTCAACATTTGAAATCAAAACATTTTATTTTGAGTTAAGTCCATTGTTTAAAAACAATGAAGCAGTGGGCCGGCCCGGTGGCGCACTGCTACAGTGCACCGCTTGGGAAGCGCGGCGGCGCTCCCGCCGAGGGTTCGGATCCCACATACAGACCGGTTCCCGCTCACTGGCTGAGCGAGGTGTGGGCGCAACACCAAGGGTTGCGATCCCATTGCTGGTCCCGGTCTGGTACGGGTGCGACACTGAGGGTTGCGATCCGTTTCTGGTCACAGAAAAAGACAAAAAGGAAAAAAAAAATCAATGAAGCATTGGTACATTGTAAGGGGTGTAGGGCGACCTTCTCCTCTGGTGACTAGAAAGTCATTTCCTCCCAGCTGCCTTTCTGACCCTCCTCCTCTGTGCCTCACGGAACCCCCTGTGAGGAGCTCCCCTGCAGAATCTATCCCTGATTTACGTAGCACTTGCTTTCTTATCTTCCCCGTGGACTCTGAGCCTCTTGAGGGAAGGGACTTGGTTGCGCCATTTTAATCTTGTCATTCTTCTGTATTTTCTTCTGTCTTTTTACTTATGATATGGTGATGTAATTGTCCACGAATCTGTCTGTTTTCCTTTTTCTGGACTGAGCTTCTAGAAGTCAGCGGCTGTGTCATAATCATCGTTTCATTCCCAGCATCTAGCTTAATACCTGGTACATAGATCAGGGATGGCAAATTTTAGGTCCATGTGACACAATTCCCCATCTGGCACCCATAGCATAACCCATCCCCTCACTCAGTCAGGCCATGACAGAACCTCAGAACCCTTCTGGGTGCTTCTGCCAGTGCTGTTCCTAGGATAATCATCTACTTCCCCACCTGCTTCTCTGTTTCCCCCCCCATGGGAAAATCAAGCCTGGTAAACACTCTGTAAGGCAGCATCAGACCCAGATCTCTCATTAAATATCAAGATATTTCAAATTTTTTTATTATTTTCTGTCTCCTTTTAATGGTGTTCATTATTCAGATTTATCTATTTTTCTAATTGTGGCTCTTAGAATATTCATGACCAATAAGGCCTATCCATGAAGGTTGCCAGACACACAGTACTCAGTAAATGTTGGCCGTTGTAATTGACAAGAGGCGTGTATTGGTTTCTTATTGCTGCTATAACAGATCACCACAAATTCAGTGGCTAGAAACAACACAAATTCACTAACTGCCAGTCTTCTATATCCAAATGTATGCACATGTATAAGGTTATAATATGAAAGGGGACATCATTTTGTTCTACTGAACATATTTTGAATATTATTCCAAGACAATTGATAACTATTTAAAAGGCCAGGCAAAAATTATTTGCTACCACTCCAGCATTGATATATTTAGTCTACTGCCCTGATGCTTTTCTTGAATATTTGATGAATTTGGAACCTCAGAGTGGAATACCAGACAAAACACCTGACTCACATGAAAAGTCCCCCAGACCCCCAAAGAGAACCCAACAGTTCTAGTGATGGCAGCTTCTGTGCCCGTGGAACAGTGGGACGGGAAGGGTGTAAAGCATTGTTTCCTGGCTTCAGCTTCTGAAGCACTTGAGGTAAGCCCTTCCTGTACAGACGCCAGTTACGCAAGGTCATGGCAGTTTCGAAAATCTGATTCAGATGTTGCCAGCTACAGCATATATAATTGGAAAATAGTCAGCTAGAAGAACCCCTTTTATTTTTCTTCTCAGAGGGGAACAGCTTTTTATTTGGCCTAGTGGTCGATAAGAGATAAGTCCAAGGAAAGGCAGGTCCTACACTTGGCCCACATGGTAACTCTAATTTCTGAAACACCGGGCAGGCACATGGAAGGAGAGATTCAGGTGGCAGAGAATGTCTTCAAATGTTTGGCCTCCACAGGAAAAATTTAAAGCAAATTGAAATCAGAGACTGCAATATTATTATTCCAGAATGGAAATCAGCAAACATTTATTGGATACCTACAGTGCTCAAATGAAGACAAATAAGATTTGATTCCTGCCCTCAAAGAGCTTACAATCTAGTGGGAACATGTTCACAAATAACAAATACAAGGCAGAAAGAGTCAGGGTATTTCTAAGACAGATACATACAATGTCATTATAAGGCAGGATAAACACCAAATGGATGTTCTAATTTTTATGTTGTATGTCACATAGGTGATGCTACATGAGTGTTAGATTCTAGATAGCAAAAAGCCAATATCATATCAGACTTCTCTCTTCTAAATGTTAATATAAATTAATAGAAAAGTAAGCTGAAGTAGGTGCCTTAAGAACTCCGAAATCTTGAACTCTGTTTTCCTCTTACCGTATTTTCACAGGGGACCAACTAGGTTGGCAGGTTGTATAAAATCTCATGCAGCTACTTTCCAGGCAAGATCTGCATTCATCCCAGGCATCTGCCAAAGACACCTGGCATAGCCTTTCTTCCTCATCCAGATGTTCTTGAACTTCATTCATAAGTTGCAGGGCCTCCTGAAATTACAAAGCAGAAATTACAAAGCAGAAATTACA